TTATGTAAGCGAAATTTATCCAGAAATTGAAAAATTCAAGTTTAGCGAAAAATTTTCGCAGGTTTAATAATACATCTAATTGTGACGACTAGAGAAACGGAACCTGGTATTATGTCCGAAGTGGCGCTAAGGAATTTTGGACGTTATCATCAAGCGTCGACCAATAAAGATCTGTAAACTATTGGACCAATACACGTGCAGCAGATCAATAAATCAATTAATTAATATCAAACAATTACTAAATATTATTTTCACAAAGTTAAAACTCTCGATGACGAATTAGATACACTAGTAAAACTTAGAACAGGTATCCTTGATTTTATTTACGTTAATCATAATTTATTAATTCATTATTATCAAATGGAAAAATGATTATAATGATGATTAAAACGTTAGAAAATGGCTTAAACCACTTTTCTAATTTTAGTAATATATATTGAACCGGCTAGCGCGTCGTTCAAGATATATTTTCTTTTTTTCTGCCATAACAGCAGGGTCTTTTTTCCGTTCTCGGTTTTCTTGTTCGATTTTCCTGTCTTTCATTTTTCAGACGGGTAACTTTCAAGTATTGTCTGCTGCGGTGGTTTTTCCTGCGTTTGTTGGCCGCCTTCTGCTCAATATAAATGATTTTATTTTATTTTATTTTAGAAGTGCGGTTATTCTAGTCAAACTATTATCTCAATATAACTGATAAGGTTTATGAGAAAATTTTATCGATAAATTTATTAAGATCACGCGACCCGAAATCAAGCGAAAAAAAAAAAATAATAAATTTACAAATCATTAACCATCAAATGAATTTTCTTAAAAAAAATTAATATCATTCTAATAAATTATTATAATTTTTACTTGTTATGAACATCTTGGTTTACTACTTTACTTCTTACATTTCATTATAAAATTACAGTAATTTAATTATTGGTTCCCAAAGTAATATACAAACATTGAAAAAAAAAGATATTAATAAAAATTCTCATTTCATTAAGTAATACTTCATAATAATTTTTGGATATACTGTATGTAACTTGCCAATTAATTATAACTATTAGCTTGCAAAGTTTCGCAAGTTTAAATTTTAAAATTTAAATATTTGTAGCTCATCATATCATAATTTTTTATCAGCTGATTAAATACATCAGCTGATCAAATGGTTTATTTTAACTTAATGGTCTGAGTTTAGTTTTTATCCTTTAATTTATTGATTAATATAAAAAATATATATATATATTTTGTTTGGGTACGGACCATTTTGCAAAAGGACATTACGCCGAAAAATAGGGCCAACATATTATGAATAAATAGTTCAGGCCAGAGATTATTTTTCGACGAAATGGCTTTCAGCGAAATATCGTGATAAATTGAGTTCAATAATGTATAATTTTTGCGCAACTTAAAATTAGTTTATTGAAATAAATTTTTTTTATTTTTTTTTAGTAATAAACTTGAAAATGAAATATTTATCATTTAATGTGTTTATTGTATTTATACCTACCGAAATATTGTACATGATGGATTATTTAGCATTGACATATGATGTAAATAAAATGCATGTATCGGACTCTCCTCTTCATTTACCATCCTAATGTAAACGTTCATTTTATTTGATTAAATTTTAGTTTAAATTTGACACCTGCCGATAACGACTGTTGGTTGCAGCGAGTAACCAATCTTACGATGGCATAAAATGGTTTAATCCACAAATATGAGAAAAAAAAAGAAAAGTAAGGTTAATAATTCTCTTTTGAGTATTATATGGTTTAATTTTTGCATAAATTCGAATAAATTTTAATACTGATTATTTATTTTTTTTTTCTAAAGTTTGCAAAATCTTCTCTTTAACTTCATCCAAAGTAATTTTTATCAGAACATAATTAGTATGTCAAGCTAACTTTTCACTAAAATAATTAGTTAAATTTCCCATTTTTAGAATTATTTGAATTTCCTTCAGATTTTCTTAACTTTGGCTTGTCCATCAATAATAAGTAAATAGTAAATATTAAAAGTGGGAAGTTAAAGGAAAAAAGTTCAAATTTCTACCAAACTAATATTATTTTTCCAAGACTCAAGATCACGCTTTAATCGATCACATGTTATGTATTTGATTGGGTGAATATCACGTGATTGAAGATCACTCATGAATTCTCAATTCGCGCTTTTTTTCTTTCCACCAGAGTGAAGTTATCTTTATGGTGACTTATTTTACAGATTTATATTTGTATTACTTTTGATTCTGTCATGTAGCATCTATGTAATTGTTACTGAAACTTTTTTTATTCAATGATTGAGCATGAAAATAGCATGATTGGCTTGATCAAAGTATATTTTTTAATAAAGGAATTGAGACAAAAAATTATTTTCTTGTTTTGATGGACTAAATTACGCTACAAATCTGCTTCTTACAAATCAGGTGTGTCGATATATCTCAATCAATAAAATCTTATTTTGTTATTCGTACATCTATGGTGAAAAATTTTAACTTTAAAAAATATTGGAATAAAAAAAAAATTTTAAATGTGTAATTAGTAATTGATTACTTTAGAAGAAGTTGACCAATAAATGGCACGATTCCCTATAAAATGTAAAAAAAATTAAAACCAGTAACGACTTTAAATTTTAATATTTACATGTATCGAAAATCAAACCTGTGTGGGACGAGTTCTTGTGACACCGGATTATCATGAATCGTATGTAATTTGTAGTCTACATAACTATATGCAGAAACGGTATTAATTCTATTTATAACTCCTAGGATAAATTTCCAGAAGAAGTTAGTATTTTTGGACCGTTTGTCAATTTTCTAAATTTGATAGTTTCATCGAGAAAAAAAGAAAAAAAAATCTTTTATAAATCATATTGTTTAACGTTGTTTGATTTTACCATTCAAATTTTTTTTTCATCTTTATTCCCTTTTTTTAGTTTTATTCAAAATTACTTTGTGTACTTTCCAAAATTGTATTGATTTGTATGATCATTCATTGATTACCTCAAAAAGATTTTTAAATGAAGGCGTTTTTCACTATTTCTTTTCATTTCATTACCAAAAGGGTTCATTTTGAAAGAGAACATCCAGACCTGTCTATAACTCCAATTTTGGAAAGCCAAAAATCGATGATAATAGATAGGTGTGATTATTATATAGTCAACTCCATATATAAACATATAATAAAATTATAGTGTGTTGTGACACAAAAAGAAAATCTCATACTGTTTAGCGTTATTCTAGTTGGTTTATTTTCATCATTTTTTATTTACCTTTTTTAGTCTTTTTCAAAGTTACCTTTGTGTACTTTCCAAAATTGTATTGATTTTTATGATCATTCATTGATTACCACAAAAAAATTTTTAAATGAAGGCGTTTTCACTGTTACCCTTCATTTCTATATATTGCCTGTCTATAACTCCAATTTTGGAAAGCCGAGGTGTAAATTATATAGTAAACTCAGTATAGCGGACATCCCTGTTTTATCACAATACTGATGATCATTTGCCGATCATTTATTCATTATATCACATAATATAAATACCGTTGCTAAAAAAATTTACATAATAATATATAAATTTAGTTAAAATATTAAATTTCATTAGAAACTTTTTAGCTTTTATTATTATTTGGTATATATTTATTCATTTTACGAAATTATTCACTAAATATGTTACTAATAAAAAACCTGTATTATGGACCGGATCACTGTTTTATTTTTACTATTAATTTTATATAACATAAAGAATATTTGTGCACATTCTTAAGTTTCGCACTCGCATATTCATCTTCGCACTTCAATTTTTGTCTGATGATCGGCAATAATTAGTGAATTATCATATACGAATAATATATTTATAATGTTATTAAAAATTGTGCTAATAATTACATTATTAAAGTCATATGATAATTTGGTGTTTTTACTTAGATTTCCATTATTTTTTTGTCACATTATTTGTGATTTTGCAATAGTTTTTAAAATCCAGAATTAGTGATCGGCAAATGATCGGTGATATGAGCATGTCCGCCATGCATATTTTAATTTACCTTTTTCCTTTTTTAGTCTTTTCAAAATCAACTTTTATATAATCACACCTATCACATCCTTGACAAAAAAGTTATAAATATCCTCATGATTTTCTCAAAAAAAAAATAAAAAAAAAAAAATATTTTTTCTTCTTTAAAAAAAATATTCAAAATCAACTTTTATATAATCACACCTATCACATCTTAACTGACAAAGAAGTTATAAATATCCTCATGATTTTCTCAGAAAAAAAATAAAAAAAAAAAATATTTTTTCTTCTTTAAAAAAAATAAAGTTCAAATGAGACAAATTAGACATCTTTACGTTTGTTAAGTTCCGATTTTTTAATTTTTTTATTGAAATATTTTTAACGTTTCGAATGTTTCTATTTACAACGAAACGAATTGAATCCAGAATGTAAGTAAATATTGTCAGTCAATCGTTAGAAAGGATGTTACTATGATAAGACTCGAATTTTGTTGGTAGAATCCTTAGATTATGTATAATATATATATACATGTATACACTATTAATGTAATAATTTATGTTGTTTCATACATGCTTCTTGATGAAGACTTTTATTTATTTTGAAGAGCGAACAAGACAAACACACAACATAAAAAATAATTCTCCCCAATTTCTATATTGCTTTCATTTTTTTTTTCATTGTACATAATTGAAAATGACAATAAAAATACTTTAAAATAATACTGAAATGATTGATTAATTGCCCTTTATAGTAAATATCAAACAATTTTATTTCTTTTTCAAAAATGGTAATTTTGACAAAGGTGCAAGCCATCATGTATAGGTTCATTCATTTAATACTCGATTTATCTTTATAGTAAAACTAGGATAATTTTTTATAAATAAGTGCTAATATTTCGAAGTTTTAAAAAATAAACTGAAATCAAATTTACAAACTAAAATAAAATTGTAAAGTAGTTTTGGTTTTTAAACATAAAATTTACAAATTCATCACTTCGTTCAAAAATGGATCCTAATAATTTTGATAACATCAATAATGGTTATTATAATTTACAACCGCCAACTGCGCAAAATATGCAAAATATTCAAAATATTCAAAATACTAACGTAAATACTATTCCTAATTACAACAATGATTTTATGATGTACAACAATACTTTTTCATTACAACACGCAAATATGAACATGTTTTCTAATAAGAACAATTCACAATTCTACCCTACGTCATATGCACCTCCGCAGAACGTTGGTCATTTTGGCCAACAGATTTCACCAAATTATATAGGAAATACATCCGGAAATTCATTTGGAAATACCTCTCTTCCGTTTGTCACTCAAAGGGAATTTTCCATTCCTGGGTTTAAAATTAAAATCATCATTGAACCTATTTTGCCTATTTCTAATCAACAACATTTGACTAATAATAATCCATTTTAATACAGTATTAATAAACATTTCGAATTTATAATTAAACTAATAAATAGTTTTAACTTTAAATTTTGTTTTTTTTCTATCTTTGTAGTATATAAACTCAAATTTATAATATGTACAATATTTAGAATAAAACATACCCACTTGTAGTAATTACAATTAGAATAAAGATAAATTTAATCCTATTTAGTCATATTTTATGTGAAATTTGTCCAGAAATTAAAAAATTCAAGTTTAGCGAAAAATTTTCGCAGTTTAATAATACATCTAATTGTGACGACTAGAGAAACGGGACCTGGTATTAAGTCCGAAGTGGCGCTAAGGAATTTTGGACAACGACAGACGTCATCATCAAGCGTCGACCAATAAAGATCATATGAACGACACATGACCATAATAATATATCGTAAACTATTGGACCAATACACAATGCAGTAGATCAATAAAACAATTAATTAATATCAAACAATTACTAAATATTTATTATTTTATGTACGTTAATCATAATTTATTAATTCAAATGGAAAAATATAATGATGATTAAAACGTTAGGAAATGGCTTAAATCACCTTTCTAATTTTAGTAATATAATAAAAATCATTCATCCTCTATTTGGACCAATTGTATATGAAATGGATTGATTTATTTCAATAATACTGAAGTTCACCCTCCGGGAAAATTATGCAGTTGCTCGGTGAGTCGACGAGGAGTATGGCTCCAAAGGATCTTTTAAACATCAGGTAACAGTATTTAGTTAATTAATTATAGCGAGTTGATAATTTTTACATTTATGTACAGTATAGTTGGGGACACGATAAATCATCAAATTGCAAAATTTTCGAAAGTAACGTGACTGGCATAATATTTAATTTAATTGGTTGGAAATTTAATTATATGATCAGTACTCATATTTCTTTCTTTCTTTTTTTTAAAAAAGTTAGTAATGCATTTTATTAATTATTTAAACCAAAATGATACATAATTAAATCAAAATACCTAGAACCATTAACGAGAGACCATTAATGACGCTATAACTAACCCTATCTAATCTAAATAACTAATAAACTAATAAAAAATCTAATACTACGGACACCAGACGCCATCTAAATACATCAAAAAAAAATGAAAAAAGGATAATCCCTGAAACCCAAATATGTCTGGATGGAGCCCGGAAAAAAAGGTCCCGACCTATCGTCAGACCTGACGTCGTTCTCTAATCTGTTCTAGTAGACACCCTAACAAAAAATTCCAGTTTAAAGCCAAGCTAGACTACCCTGAAAAAAACCAATAATCTAATCCCCAAACAAAAAACCAAAATATTTACAAAAAAAAAGATGGCTAATACTATATCCTCTCTAAAATGACGTCGACCCTTGTGCTACCTTAAAGTGATTCAAAAATTTTGCGAAATCACATTGTGATCAGTACCCCATAGAACGTAATACTGATATGATCGCCAATTTTGGTACCGGGTTACCTTGAACATGAACTTTTGTTAGACGTTTTCACTAGTTTACCTAAATTAGTCTTTTACAAAGTTATCGTCAATACTTTATATGATCATTCATTGATTACCCAAAATGAACAAATAACAAAGCATTTCAAAATTTTTATTATTCCCCTTAACCTTGTGTTTATACCAAAAACAGTCCCTTTCATATTACTAATTTCTTTCATTAAAAGAGTTTATTTTGAAAGAGTATTAGTATTACTATTTTTTTTATTGAATAATTGATATTTTGTAGACTTTCAATGCATACTAAAATTGGAAGGATATTGCACACTCCATTTAGTCATATTAGAATGATAGTATTCATTTGTTGATTAATTATTCTAGTTGTCTTTCAACCTTTTCTCGTTGCAATAAATGATTAATTTTGATTTATTTGGAAAAATAAAAAAGTGTAAAAAAGTGAATGAATTTATTCATAGTTGTTTGATATTCCTTAATTATTTACTTAGATTTTCCATTTAACTCCTCTATTTATAGTTTGATTGTGGATTTTCCCAAATTCCGTCCATTTATATATATGATCATTCATTACTACCCAAAATAATAGTTTTGTACGACAAGTTTATATGAAAAATTAAATAATTTTTTATAGAATAATCAATATTATTAATGCTTTCAATTAACTAAATATAGAAATTAAGAAAACAAAGATTTTCAAGATGTTTAATCAAAGTAATTGATCACGAGAACTGGTTTGTAAATTTTATATATAGGCGTGATAAGAAGTTAATTTAATTCCACTTTATTATTTTCTTGAAAATATATTTACTTTTAATTTGTAAATTTTAGCTGGAAAAATAAACTCAATCCAAGATGTAAGTAAATTTCTTTTTTTACGACTTATTTTCTTTTCAATTAATCGATAATATTAAATTATCTTCTTTTATTATAGTAAATCGCAGTCGTTTGGAAAAGAAGAAGAAGAATATATACATGGATTAAAAATCAAGTCCAATTAATTGGGGAAAATTAATTAATGATATTCAACAACGGCTCGGTAAATTACGCCCCAAGAATAAGATCAAAAATTTTTGGTACTCAAGATGAAGACGCCACCAAGTAAAGATGGTCTACGGGACCGGACCACGGTCCTGATTATTTGTGGCTTTTGGGGACCGACCATCGGTCCGTCTTATAAATTTTTTTTTATTATTACTCTAGTAAATGTTTCTTGTATTAAACAAAAAAACAATAATATACTTATACTATATACTAAGAAGGTAGTACCTATTGGCTATTTTTTTTTTTATATATTTTTAATTTCTTTATTTTAGATTTCTTTATAGTCCCGTTCCTACTACCTAAAAAAAGTGATTAAAAAAATAAATAAGTATTAATAATATTGATCGGTCTTTTGAAGACTGCGGTCCTAAAAAAGACCGTCGGTCTTGTTGATCCATCGGATGATCACGAGGACCGCAAAACCGATGACCATCTTTACCGCCAAGGCAGCCAAGTAAGCCTTAATCATATAATAAATAGTTTAAGAGAATTTGATTTTATAAAAAATACTCTTCAATCAACTATTACTTCTCGCTTTAACCCTAATATAATATCTCGTAATCAAATAACCTCTATTCATTCCTCGAATTATTTCTCAAATTATTCTTCAAATTATAACAAACCAGTAACCACAATGTAATGTAATTATGATGAAAATTTTAATTTCATCTTGCAATAGAGATTTTTTTTGATTGGTTAGTTCATGTAGGTAATGTGATTTGAGAAGTTTCGCAACCATTCATTTCCCAAAATATGAAGTTAGTGTCTTGGTGAATTCGGCGCATGTTTTTTAAGCAGCATGTGATAGTACTACTTAATAATCTTTCATATTTTTGTTCATAAGCATAAAAACAAAATAATTAGTATATCGCGTGATACTGACTGAAATAAAATAATTGAACTCATTCATTCTCAATTTACTTTCATATCTTTTTCTTCATTGTAAATATTTAAAAATGGTAATAAATAAAATGCTTTCAACTTTCAAAGAAAGAAGTGCATTACGAATATAAATGAATTACCTTTTATGTAAAATATCAAATGATTTAATACTGTTTCTTAAATTACTTAATATAGAAGATTATTTTATTTATAATTCAAATAACTAATAAAATGGAAATTTTGACAAAGAACATTACACTTGCCTTCATTCATATATACTCGATTTATCATACTATTGTAATATATTAAATACAGCATATTGAAAGACAAAATCATATACTCGATTTATCCATACTATTGTAATACATTAATACAGCATATTGAAAGACAAAATCAAAGAATCAATGAAAAAATCAATGAATTAAAGAAAAAAATAACGAATTTCAATGAATTATAAAGAAATTAATAAATTTTAGGAAAAAATTTTAATATAAAATAATCAAATTTCTTTCGAAGATTTGAAAATAAAAAAATCGATTAATTTCCAATTCATAAATATAAACAACGTATCGTTTAAAAAAAAAAGATGAACCATAACGTTCCTAATAACATCGACAATTCCGGATTTGTTGGTAATGGTTATCCTAATTTACAACCATTACCAAATATTAATTCTAATGCTACAACGAACTATCCTACGACGTTTACTACTTTTGACTCGCAATTTCCTTCTCCACCGCTCGATTTTCAAACTGAATTTGAAACGCCTGGATTAAAAATTAACATAAATATTACACAATATCAACATCAACAACAAAATTTTCTAAATAATTCGGTCATGTTCCCTAATACAACTGAAGCTTCAGCTTCATTCTCGTATGCGCAGTGCATCGGCAATTTGGCGCAGCAGTTTATATCTTCTCCACAATCTGAAACTTTTAGAACCTTTAGCTTCGAATTTTCTGGGTTCAAGATAAAAATTACTGTTGAGCCTACTTCCAATCCAATGTTTCAACGAGAACAACAATATAATTACCCGCAGCAACAAAATCAATAAAATATTTAAAATAGCTTTTATTTGATATAACAATCCTTATTTTTGATTTTAAAATTGTTTTCTTTATTTTTGCTTAATTTGTATGTACAATGTATATACTATACTGTAAGAATGAAACATACCTAATCGTCGTGAATTAGATAAATTAAATAAAGAAAAGTTTTAAATTATTTTCTTATATTTATATATATATTCTTTTTGAAGCGTTCCTTCAAGAGACGTGAAAGAGTGATTAGTTGTAATTTTATCGATAACTGACTGGATAACAATTAGTAAGACAAGACACCTCTAAATGTGTCACTCCGCGAACTTTTGCCGTTTACAATCACGTGTTAGCGTTAGTATGTAATGTCAAAAAGTCAGCTAGTATTGGCAACATGACATTTTCTATGCGTTTTTACGGTTTGTTTGCTACAAATTTCACAGCAACATAGTATATTGTATTTTAAAATATTTTTATATCTTTATTAAAAAAAGAAAAGCATGTAAGTACTTATTTCTTGAATTTTAATAGGGTTTTATATAGAGATTTCATGGGCATAATTTGAGAAATTTGATAAACTCAGTTGATTAAATAAAATTAATAAGCAGGTATTGTATATTTTTTGTTATAATAACAATTGTTATTACATCTTTTTGTTTCTTTTTTACACAGAAATTTTATGCTAAAATTTAAAATTTTGATATTTTAAACATTTTATATAACAGCCTTTTGATATTAATGATTTTTATTTGTGAAACAGTTAATAATAATTTAGGCTAAGATTAACATGATTAGCGATTAACGAAATTGTGGCGCATGATGATATACGTTTCTTGTGTAACATTTACCTAGTTCATGTTTTTTTCTTTACAACCTTATCTTTTCTATTTTCTAATTTATAAAAAAGAAAGAAAGAAAAAAAGAAAAGCAAAATATTTTTTTCGGGTTCCCTTAACCCCAACTTAGAATGACGTTTCAAATACAAATATTACATTACAACGCTACAATATATAACAACTATACAGCATACACAAAATCGGGTTTATCCGAAGACGTTCCTTACTACTTTAAGAATTTGCATCAGTTTCATTTTAACTCGCTTGCAAAATTTTGCTTTCATCAAATGCAGTTGTTTGCAATACTGATAATATATTATAATGCAAATTATCGGATTATCGCATTTTCTTCTTCGATTAATTTTTTTTCATTCATGTAGTTTTTATTATGAAGTAATATTTAATTTGATGGCTTTCAAGAAGTGTGATACAAGCTGAATTTGGTTATTTAACAAAGTAAGTTATATCCGATTTTGATGATCTATAAGATAATCTATTTACAAGAAGATAATATTTATAGTAACACAGATCAAATTATGTCATAGACTTTTTTGTAGTTTTTTCATTCAAATTTTATCAGATCATAAACACGTTGCTTTTATGGTTTTTTTTATAAAATAAACATAAAACTTGAACATTTTGAAACTAAACAATTTATAGTATAGTGTTATGTCTTTAAATATATTAAATTAGTAATCATTTATGTGTTGTATATATAACATAATTTCATTTACTTATTATATTTTCTTTTTTTTTCCTTTTTTTCTCCTATTTTATCTTTTTTAATTATTCTTATTCAATAATTTCAAAGCCTTTATTTAATGTTGTGGCGGTGCTATTAATTGTTTATATTATTATATTTATTATCAAAATATTTTCGTCACTTGTTGTAAATATTAAGATTTTTTTTTTTTGATTGTTATAAAATATCTATTAATGATTGGTTTTATTCTAACTTTATTAAATCATATTGATTTTTTTTTGTCAGCTACAATCATTATAAAGTAGTTTCACTTGTATAGTATTTTTTAAAAAAAATTTTCTTATGAGTAATAGACAAATTAATAACGATTTATTTTTTTTACAATGATGGTAGTTTAATCAAATAAAGGGTTCTGGTTTAAGAGTTTAATATATAAAATCATAGATAAGCTAGATAAATCTCTTACCGTCGTTATATCTATATATCTATATATTATTATTACATGTAATATCACTCTATTATCTTATAAATAAAGTCATTCTTTTATGCAATAAAGAAATATAAAAAAAAACATTTTTTTTTTTTGAAAAAGAAAGAAAGGATTTAACGCGCAATTTAGTTTGAATTATAAATTATTTGATTTACTTTATGACAGAAAATATAAAAAGGAAATAAAAAAAAAAGAAGAAAAATTGGAGATAGATATATAATTTTTTTATTAGCCACTATACCGCAATAACTTGTAAGGTAGATAAGATAACGATCATTCAGGGGTAAAGTTACACAATTTTAGTAATCTTTCGGATCTGATGCAGATAGATAATTTTTTTATCGTAAATGATTTAAATGATTTGATAAGATATCACGTATATATTTATCTTACCTAAAGTGATTTTTTCTTAGAAGGGCGACAAGTTTTTTTTTTTCCGGTTATAAATAAAAATTTCCCCATTTAGTAATCTCAATTAATTGCTCAATATTCTTTTTTTCTGAAATATATTTTGTACCTCGTTGTAATTAATTTCATTTATATTATCACTTTATAACTTAGTGTATCGATATAGTTTTTGTGTATAGAATGCGTATCACATAGACAGACAGTAACCATAATATATGTGAGTCATCTTGATCGCTTTAGGATAAGAATATATCGAAACACGTTTTTTTGTTTTGTTTGTTTATCAAATTTTGGACTATTTCTTAAATTAGTAATATTTTTTTGAGGGGCTCTCTTTATTTAAAAGTTTGTTTGCGATCGAAATTTAGGAAAGAAAAGAAAGAGGGCATGAAAGAAAGAAGGTGAGAAAAGAAAGAATATATTACAATAGCCACAAACAATTGAAAATGAACAATAGAGAAAAAAAATTTTTTATTGTGTTTATTGTAAGAACGCAACGCTATTAAGATAATCTTTTCAAACACATTCGATTTTCTTTTTAAAGTCATAGAAAAAAAATTCAAGATCCGAAAAAAATAACGATTAGATTTTTTAGTAAATAAGTTATTATGATAACAGATAACATTGAAATTATGAAAGTGGAATCCAGTTAAAGGAAATTTATTAATGTAGTAAATAGATTATCTTTTTTTTATTACTAAGCATGTATTGTACAAATACTGCTGTGAATTCTTTGTTTTAGTTCCTTTTTTGCTTTAGATTACTATATTTTAAAAATTCATACAATAATAACAATATCAATCACAAAGATATAAATAGTACCTCTCCTTCAGTTACTAAATATTCAAAATAAATGTTAGCACTTCTTAAAAAAAATTAGAAGGCTTTTTAAATCAGAAGAAGGTCTTTTGATCAATGTCAATGTACCATAATTTGATAATTGAACTTCAAAAAACGGCTTTATCTGCATCTCTTGATTCGGCTTCGTATCATTTTGAGAGCCCAACTTCCTAAGAAAATGAATTATAATAACCTAAGTGGTAATCCGCAGTTACCAACATATTATGTGGATGCACTACCAACATGTAACACATGTAATGGTTGTGTTACTACGCCGTATAGCACTGGACAACGTCATCAATTTATGGGAGCAAATCGTCCATCGAGAACATTAAAATATGTACTTAAAAATGTCTATATACTTTCTCCAGTAGAAATTTCTAACACGAATGACGTTATTCCAGAACAATATGTGCATACGCCAACATGTAATAACTCGCAGTTATACATGTATAACCCACAATATTTTGATCAAGTTAACCAACAGACTTTTCAAAATCCACCACAAGATATCAGGACGACTTCTTTTCCTCAAAGGAATTATTTGAAGACTTTCGATTGTACGTCCATTTCTTCTTCAATTGCGAGTAATTCAATGATGACTAATATTAATTATAACATGGCTAACGCTCCCAACGTTCCAGTCTCGCAATTATGTACTCCAATCACGCCGTATGACGCACAATATACAGTTACTGATCAGCAAAATTTGCAAAATTTCCAAAATCCGTCGCATTATGTTGGAAATACTTAATCTATTTACTTTTTCTCCAAATTATTTGGATTTCATATTTGATAAATATTATAAATATTAAAATTTGTGTTAGTCTCTATTTTTTTATTACTTTTATGATTTTATGATATTACGTAAAATATTCATACTCTACTATTTTCTTTTTATCTATCTCCTATTTATTATCTTACTTGACATCAGCACGGTAGTTCATTATCTTATTTTTATATTTATACAAGCTAACCCCCTTTATAGTCACCCACTGTACAATCACTTTATAATTTATATAAATCTCTCATTATAAAAGCACACCTCATAAAACTAATACCTATTAATACTAGGTAAAGAAACTCCTCTGTAATCGCAATGTTTTATGGTCACGCCTCTTTTTCTTAGAACCAATGTTTAGTAATGATGTATAAAACCATCTCTATGCACTTTTTATTTTTTGGTTCCGAAGAGTTTGACTATAAAGGGGCTGAGCGGCTGACTATACAATATGTAATAAAATATTATATATATATAAAATAAAATTTTACTTTTGTTTTTTAAATTGAAATAAATTGGATTTAATTTTATTCTCTTACATTTTTCTAACGTACCTTATATTTTGAGAAAAAAGTTCAAGAAGTTCGGGAGTTTTGAAACATATTCGAAGTTAACCCGCCAATCAAGTATTCAAAAATCGGTTCAAATTCGATTTATGTTTGGCCAATTTTTTTTATTCTTGATGTTTTTATTATAAAAATTTTTTTTTCAATTGTTTTTTAATATTTTTGATTAAATTCAAATAACAACATTTTGGTTATTAAAATTTTCTTTCTATACTTTATGTCATCAGGATTTTAAACGTATACCGTACATTCAAACAAACTTTGTTTCGTTTTAAAATTGCATCCTTTGGCTGCTATTACGTGATTCATGTCTCAACTAGAATAAATTCGCTCCATTTTTTTGTCATTATTAAAAAAAACGTGATTTAATATAACGGACTAATCATAAATATTTATTAATTATAAAATTTTATTTCTTTGTTCTGTCATAAATGTTTTATCCAATAAATTATCTACTAGTGTAGCGCTAGGTTTTGTTATATAGTACATTGTACAGGTCTTTATTCAGTTATTTTGCTACGTACCTTATATTATTATAACGAGTACGTAGATAAACATGTGACTTTACGTCACTAATCCGCGTTATTCAACAAAGTCTCAAAGAAAAAATCATATTTAATAGATTACTATTGTCATGAGTCATTATACAACACATTGAACAACATAACCGTTATAACGCGTTACATGATACAAAAAAATAATATATAAATAGAGTACCCCTTTTTCCTAAGGATATCTCTACTTTTTTCTCTACTAAGAGTTCCAACAGGGTCCAGGTTAGCATCCGTTGTAAGGTCTACTGACTCCAGAGCAGGAGTTGGTTATGTCGGTCAAAGGCCTTGGTAAAACTTTTTTTTATTTTCGGGATTTTTTCCTCTTTCAAGATATACAAGATATACAAAGTGAAAGAAAAAAGTCGCTACTCGTGGACAGGATAACGGTCTCTCTCAGTCTTATGGAACACTGAAAAGAACATATACTACACTTGTATTGCACTGAAAGAACATATACTACACTTATACTGCACTGAAAAGGACATATATTACACTTAAGTAGTTGCACTTGTAATTTAGTTGCAGTATACTACTATATTTTTTTTGAGTCGCAAATCACGGAAAGCTGATCGTAAAACTTTAAAGAATTGGACGCGTCGTCAAAAGAAAAAACAGGAAGAAATTACCCTTGCCGCCATTATGATCTTGAAAACATCGGGAGACGAAGATATTCCAAGAACACCGCCGGGACTCGTGTCATCACCGTCATAAGAGTAAAAGACAAGAACGGTCACGTGAGATTGAAAAGACTCCACGTAAAATGAATTCACCAAAACCTACCACAGTGAATAACAACGAAGTTTCTTTAACTCCTGGAGTATGCTCTGATTTCACCTAATCTAGAGTTCCTCACATAGTATAGACGAATCACAAGTTTTGCTACATTAAATCTTCTTTTCTGTTTTCTTTCCTCTCCGATTTTCTTCTTCTTTTCTTTTCTCATGACGATAAATGATTTTTTTATTTTAAACTCTTTTTTTTGGAATAAATTTATCTGACCTCATTACCGCCTGGGACGCCTGAGACCCTCGCGCAATTTTCTCTGGAACTCTGATATACGTTAATGCTACGATTGTAGCCAAATGCTCGCAATACATGATTGCAAATAACCCGCAATAACAACAAAATCAATGTAAAAAATTTCAACGAAATTTATAATGGTCCACAATGTATATACTTTATTGTAAGAATGAAACATACCTAATCGTCGTGAATCAGTGAATTACTTATAAATTAAATAATGAACAGTTTTAATATTATTTATTTATATTTTATGTATATTCTTTTGAAGCTTTCTTTCAAAAGAGACGTGAAAGAATGATTACTAATTTCGTGAGTTTATCGATAAATGACTGGGTGACAGTTAAGACTTAAGAAAAGACACCTCTAAAATACACTACGGACTTTTGCCGTTTTCCATCACATGTTAGTATATAATGCCGTAATGCCGTCAAAGGTCAGAGTATATTTCATGTATATGTATTTCAAAATAATTTTATTAAAAAAAAAGCAAAATAAATATTTATTATATTTTATTTTCGTGAGTTTTATAACACGATTATATTTCTCTTTTTGTTTCTTTTTGCGCAAAACCTTCTTATTTTTTTTAAAAAAATCTATTATTTATTTACCTTATTAAATGGTTAAAATTAAAAGTTTTTTATTTGTGAAACGGTATGTAAGAATGGTTTTAATTTTGGCTTAATAAGTTGGCTGTAAGCCACGTGCTGTTAATGAAATTGTGCGAAACGTTTCTTGTGCAACATTGACGCTTTCATGTTTTTTTCTTTAAAAGTCTTTTCTTTACAACCTTTTTTTTCTTTAAAAAAAAAAAAGAAAGAAGAAAAAAAGCGAAATAGCTTTCCAAATTTCCTTAACCCCTTAAAATGACGTTTATTTCTGCACAAAATCAATTTCATCCGCCAACTGTCTGCAAAATTTTGTGCTTTCATTGATTCCGTTTGTTTTAATATTGCTTTAAATTTCAAAATAAACAAAATCAAAACAAAAAAATAAACAAAAATAAAAACAAAACCAAAAAAAACAAAAACAGATCCAAAAAAAATTATAAATTAATTGTATATGAATTTTCGGGTTATCGTATTTCCTTTATTATTTTGTTAAATACCCATCTATCTACTATCAGCTATATCTCTTGAATCGCATCATTATATCAGATTATCAGATTATGATCGATAATAATGTTTATAAATAATGAACAAATCGTTATGCATGATAATCTCTTGTACTATTAATATTATATTAGTAATTATTATTAATTTAAATTTATTAAATTTATTTATATAAGTTTATATAAGTTAATTTATTTTATTTAATTATTTACTTATTATATTTCTCTTTATTCTCTTTATCTATTGCTTTCGTTGAACAATAATCTGAAACTCTCTTTTTATTTATTTCATGTTTGTGAAAATATTATTAAATATTTATCCGTTATCAAAATATTTGATAATTATTATAATAGGATTAGTTTTCTTTGATTGTGTTGTAAAAAGTATCTATTAATGATTCTTGCTTATTTTAAATCGGATTGGTTTTTTTTATACTTGCCGGTTACAAATTATTATAAAGTAATATTGTAAATAATAGTTTAACTTGTATCGTGATACATTATAAAATTTCTTATAAATAGACTCGTAAAAAGATCGTAAAAAAAAAAATATTTAGCATAGATTTCTGTCTTTAATATTTAACAAAAGAAAACATAGAACAGCATTTACATCATTTTAATTATATGTCCTTATTATATATATATTATATATCTTAAAAAAGATCATAAAAAAAAAAAATATTTAGCGTAGATTTCTCTATCTTTAATATTTAACAAAAGAAAATATAGAACAGCATTTACATAAATTTTAATTTATCCTTATTATATTTATAATTAATTAATTATATTATATATTTATCTCTTTAATTGGTAATCAACAAATGAATAAATCAGGCGTGATTGTCTCTCTTGCACCATACCATCAAGAAGATCCTCCAACTTTTTGAAGAAATATTAATATCTTATTTGTGAGCGCGTAAAAGTACAGCAAATCAGATTAAGAAACTTCTGAAAGTTACTGTACAATCAAAAAAAAAAAAAAATTCCCAGAAGAAACTCATCATTCGTCTTCGTGTTATGGCAAACTTTCGAAACTTACTAAATTTCAATGTTTGGGGGATGAGAAGTAAATACAGCTATCCCCCGAATGGTAATAATCCTCTGACACCTCATGTGATTAATACGCCAGCGATTACTCCTAATGGTGTGAACGCGTTAAACCCATCTTGTGGCCGTTCTTGTCCTTTTCCTGGAAATAATCCTTACATTGTGGATAATTCACCTCATGCGGTGAATGATATTTATCAGGGTCAGAAATCCTCTATGATGCGTGATAATCATATTTCGCTTCAACAACAGCAACAAAAACGTTTCTATGAGGTACCTGTAAATTCTGAATACATGGGATTCACTACAAACAACTATTCTCCGAACAACAATAATCCCATAGTACCTAATGTGCCAGCGGTTATTCCTAATATTAATGGACAGATTTTGCCGCCTCAAATAAGTTATCTCGATACTCCGCAAATCTATCCGAATGTTTGCAATAGTGTGAACGCTTTTAACTCATCTTGCAGCAGTTCTTGCCCTCTTCCTGGAACTAATCCTTTCATTGTGGATAATTCACCTCATGCGGCGAATGATATTTATCAAGATCAGAAATCCTCTATGATGCGTGATTATCATATTTTGCTTCAACAACAGCAACAAAAACGCTTCTATGAGGTACCTGTAATTTCTGAATACATGGGTTTCACTCCTACAAACAACTATTCTCCGAACAACAATAATCCCCTAGTACCTCATGTGATTAATGCGCCAGCGGTTACTCCTAATATTAATGGACAGATTTTGCCGCCTCAAATAAGATATCTCGATATTCCACAAACCTCTCCGAATGTTTGCAATGGTGTGAACGCTTTTAACTCATCTTGCGGCAGTTCTTGCCCTCTTCCTGGCAATAATCCTTACATTGTGGATAATTCACCTCATGCGGTGAATGATATTTATCAAGATCAGGAATCTTCTACAATGCGTGATTATCATCATATTTCGCAACAGAAACGAGTCTATGAGCTTCCTGAGTTTCCTGGAAATGTGGGTTTCAATAATCATCAATTTGCACAATCCATGAATATTCCGCAGATTGAACCCAGTAGACAGATTTTAGCATCACAGTATGAAATTTCACAAGAATCTTTAAATAATTACGGAAGTACTGTACAATCCTATGTGCCTGATAACGATTATGTTCGACAATCTTCTGAAACCACTAGCCTGCAAAATTATCAGAATTACTATAGTCCATCGCAACAACAACAACAACAAACAAAAACCTTTGAAGATCCTGTATTCGTTGGGTATGAAATTCCACAAAATAATTGCAACAATTTGAATAGTTTTTAACGTCCTATGTGATCAATGGCAACAAATAGGGTTCTTCGGGAGGTGGTTTTTTTTTTATACTTATATCTAGCATTATGGTAACGTTAGTGTTTATGTCAATTAATGACGACAAATTTCCCTAGAATTAAATTGAAAATGTTTAATTTTTTTATTTTATTTTATTTTACAATGAAGGTAATATTCTGGTTTAAGAACAACTTATTATATAAATCATAGATAAACTAGATAAACGTCTTACCGTCATGAATCTATATATTGTTATATGTAATATCACTATTATTTCATAAATAAAGCCACATTTTTATGTAATAAGAAATATAAAAGGAATTTTTTTTTTTTAAAAAAAAAAAAAGAAAGAAAATTGGTGAATAAATTTTTTTTTTTTTTTAATAGTTTTATTAATCGCTATTCGCTATACTGCAAAAAGTAAAAATAACTTATCGAGGACGCAGTTACACAATTATACTAAACTAATGTCTAGTGACTCTAGTCGGACATATTCGGATCTGCTGCAGATAATTTTTCCTTTAAAAAAAAAAAATTTTGTTATATGTCGGATAGACAAATATTTATTTTCGGTTTATAAATAATAATATTTTTTCTCCATTTAGTAATCATAAATTGATAAAAGTTCGGTTAGAATTTTTTTTTCTAAATACCTCGTTATTGTAAGTAGTAATTAATTTCATTTGAATCTTGGCTCCCCAAGCGTATACTGAAACACGTTTTTTTGATTATCAAATTATGGACTATTTCTTAAAATAGTAATATTTTTTTGAGGGATTCTTTTCAGTGCTTAAAATAGAAATTGAATTTTACCGGTCAAGAATCCGAAATGAAAATATTTTACTAAAATTTACCGGCCAAATAAATTTTTTCTTTAAAAATTATTTTATTTACTCTTATTAAAAAAAAAAATTTAAATTCTTCTTTTTAAAAGCATACTCTACTCCAAATTTGTAATGCTCTAGCAAAATCAAATTCAGATAAATCTTTTTTTCTTCCAGACCAACTATTATTCAAAAAATGTAATGTTTCATTATTTAATGAATTTCTCAAATCATTTGAAAATCTTCGTTCACAATCCATAATTTGGCAAAGTATTATAATAGAATTCAATAAATTCTGGAAGTAATTTTACAATCTTTATATTTTTAAGATTTGAATACTATTGCTTTATATCTAAAACACTCTTCATAAATATCATGATCCAAAAATTCTCGTTGAATTTTTTAAGAGTTAATTCTATAATAGGATCTGTATTAAATATTTGAATATTTTTTCGTTGAAAAATTTTCAAACTTCATAAATTTGTTTAATTTTCAAAATTGGATGTTCTAATGTTTATTGATATTTGCGTAAAGTACCTGGAATTAGGGAAATAATTATAAACTGATTTTATAATATATTCAATATGCTTGCAAAAATCTACTTTTTTTCAGCTGAATTGCGAGATAATTTTTAAAAATTATAATGACTGGAATAACAAATTTAAAAGATTTAAATAATAATGATAGAAAGCATTATAAACAAATAAGTATGGAACCACCAATAAAGAATGAAAATTATGAAGTATTTGGAACAATTGTTACAAAAAAGAATTCGAAGATAAAGAAGTTAGATCAAAGAAATATTTCTATAAAATTTGGATTATATAATGTTGATGGATTTTTCGCGATAATAAAAATTAAAATTGGTATAAATGAACGTTTCAATTTTAGTCCAATAACCGAGAAATACAAGTAAATCGAATCGTATCAAGGAATCTATTGTACAGCCTGATATGAATTTAATGGTCACGTAATTCTAGTTTAAATATTGATTGTAAAGTTAATGGGATAATGGAGTTGATGAATATTCTTTCGGCTTATTTGAATATATTTCTGATTTTAACTAAAGATTATTTTAATGTGAACACGTTGTTTAGCAATAAATTTATTAAAAAATGATTATACGTTGATAAATGAGATGTTAAAATGTTTATTTACGCAATTTTAATTTAAATAAATCTTTCAGGCTGTTTATATAACGTATTTGTTATTTGTCACTTGGCAGAATATTATGTTGGCTGATATTTTTCATTACTTTAAGATAGTACCGACCGTATAGCACTGTATTTTTAAATATACGTATCCAAGATTTATACTTGTAAAGCAGATTTGCTTTTTATAAACACTACACATTTCTTTTTGTTATTCAAGAAATACGTAATTTGTTTATTACAACATATCCTCATATCAATTTTAATATAAATATACTTGAGACGAAACTGTCCATAAAAATTACCATTACGTCATTATAGAAAACATTGTAAAAATAACGATATATATATATATAATTTAATTACGCTCTTAATTTTTCTTCTAATAAAAAAAATTATCAATTATTATAATAATATAATGAATTAAGTAAATTCAAATAATAATTAAAATAATTAATAAATACCTTGAAAAAATGCAACTTTAGATCATTAACTTCTATTGTTTTTTTACAAATACAATGATTGTCTTCACAAACTTCCGTTCTTATATATTTTATTTTAATTTCATTTTTCTTTTGTTTAAGGAAAATTGGAGCACAATTATCTTCACTAGAATGTAAACTAATATATTTTGGTATTACTGATTGTGAAGAATGAGGGTTAATATAATTGGGTAAAAGGCAAGAATTCTTAAAATTAAAAGGGAATAATTTATCAAGGATAGAATTTTTACAATTAAAAGGTATTATTTTATATTCATTACAATCAGGATAATTTGAGATAATGAGTGTAGAAAAAGTAAATTCTGGTAATTCAACATAATGATTTTTTTCCAGACTATAAGAAAATATGTATGACCCAATTCCAATACCATTACTCCCTTGATAATTAAAAAAATGATGGCCAATGACAAGAGAAGGGTTAGGTTCTCTTAGTACCGGAATTCCTAAACAAATAGGTTCTTCGATAAATGAATCATAAAAAAGTTTTTTATAATACATTGATTTTGATGCCTCAATTTTATTTTCTATTACTTCAAACCGAATAACAGAATCTGAATTAATGAAATTGAAATTTATATCATAACCAACAACCACCAGTCCGACTTTAAGGTTATATTTAGTATTTCTAGTATATTTTTGAATACAATGGATCATGAGTTGCGGTCTCCTATTTGGTAACAAAAGGATTTGACAACTAAAGAAATCATTTTTTGAATCATCAGTATCAATAACAGTAGCAAAAATATTGCATTCGGCATCATTTTCTAACATATATGTTGGTATATTTGTCAATTCAAAAGTTTTTCTTTTGTTTAGACTGTTTGGACTATAAATATAAGCTATTTGATCACTATAAAGAATTCTTTTAGCTAAACCTTTTAAACCCTCTGAATTATTCTTTCTGAAGATTCTTTTATATAATTCATAAGGTAAAAGTTGAAAAATACTGACAAGATTTTTGTATTCTATACAACCCCAATTTACAAAATCATCTAAAGATTTAACCCAAGCTCTTTCATTAAAATTATCAAGGTTATCACGTTCACCTCCAATAAGTTTAATAAGTTTATTTTTAGAAGACATATCTTCTACAGTTGTAGAACCAATTTTATTTTTTTCTTCAGAAAATTTCACTGATTTTTCTTCCTCTAGAAAATAAGCTTTTCCACCTATCAAAACTTCACTTGAAATAAATTGGCCAAACTTTTCGGCGATGTCTTTAAATTTTTTAAGTTTTTCTTCATGATCCTTAATTTTTATAGCATTTTCAACTTCATCTATAAATTCCTCTGTTGGTTTAAAATAATTTCTTTCAATTTTTAAGGAAATTTTATTAATGTACATACTTCGAAGAATTAATTTCTTTTCGGACCCAGTCATGGTATTTTTCGATTTTCCATATGATAATCCAAATTTTGCATTAATATCATCATTTATAGTTGATTCTGTTATCTGTTTATTATATTCACTTTGAGTAACTTCGCTTTTTTCTATTCCCATTCCTTCTCCTTTACGTACTTTAAAATCCCTCACATCAAGTATAAAGGCTTTTCCTTTGGCTATATCAATTTCACCATCAGAATTTATTTTACGTCCGTACTCTAGTTGAAATTTATCTTTCAAAATTTTCAAATCGTAATCAAGGGATGGATTTTTTACTAAATATAAAATTTTATCATCCTCAATTGTTTTTATAATTTGGCTTAAAAGAAATTTCCTTTCATCTCTCTCTTGTATTCTAGATGTACCATCTGAAAATAATAATGTATCATTCATTAACGTAACTTTTTCAAGTTCTTGACGAATACTTGATAAATTCTCATCAAGCTTTAAACGAACTAATCCAGAATCCAAACCACCCTTTCGGACTTTAATTTCAACATTTTTAAAGGTCAAAGTCTTGTTCATTTTATTAAAATATGCACTTTTTCTCAAAAAAAAATATTAAAGCTTACAAAACTCGCGCACAATGTATAAATAGATGATCATTTCCCAATTAAAAAAAATGGGGCGTTAAATGCATAACATCGTACGCATTAACTATTCTGTGGTATGCGAAAAATGGATGCATGATATTCGTTATGGTCCTAACAATGAAGTCATTGACGAAGTCGTTGAGGAAGAACTTGCTTTTTCTTCAAGTCACGTGACACCACCGAAAAAAAAAATAAGAATAAAAAAGAAGAAAGGAAATAAGATGGTTCAATCTACTAGTACGGATAAGGAAACTTTAGATTCCACTGAAGAACCAATGAGAATTGATGATGAAATTTCAGAAATCAATAGATTATCAAATTACACAATCGGATGCACAAACGCCTATACCGCAGACAGCGCATTCGGCACAAAATTTAACCGTTCAAAAATCTTCGAAAAAAATAATTAAAAAAAATGAGGTTCTTCCATTATTACAGGTCATACTCCTACCGGTGATGGTACATCGCGAGTCAAGTCAGAGACATTTTGGTGTATGATGTCCCGGTATCCTGGATAGCAGAGAAGCTTTTAGTTGAATTTACTCTATGGGGAAAACTATTTCATTTCAATCCAAACGACAAAAAAAATACCAAACTGTTCCGTTTTTCCCAGTTCGAAGTCAATGAAAATCCTGCTGGACAACAGATTTAGGGGGATACCAGTAAGATGGTTCCAGCAAGGTGGACTCAAAGAAAGAAAACAACGTGAGAAGTTCCAAGCTATGATTCGTAAGATACCAGATTCGATGACGTTAGCAACCTTATGGAAAAAAAGTCACCACATTCATTCCTTGCAAATATTAAAGGATTGAAAAGTTTTAAAGTATTCAAACTGCACAAAGAGATCGTAATCTTATTGATTATTTCGAAAAGTGGAAGATATGCAAACCGCATTAAATAATCAATTTGATTGGGAGCTGCAGCACCTGTCTTGGAATTCTTGGAATCGACATGATCCTCCGAAGCAAACTAATAAAACTAATATGTCACGTGGTGGTAACGCTACAAGACAAAAAATTTTTCAAGAAGTCAATCGACCAAGAAACAAAAGGATCACAAAAAGGATTCTAAGAAGAAACCGTAAGAAATCCAAGAGGCCTCAGTCGCAAGATAAGAAGAAGGATAAGTCTCGTAAAGCCCTATAAAAAAATTGGATACGTTTTTTATAAAGTTTTTATACGATTTTTTTCCTTAGAAATAACGTATCATAATAGGATACGGAAAAATGCACAATTCCGTATCACTAAAAATATGGTTTGGATACGGAATTTGCACGGAATTCATATGGAATTTACATGATTTGATCACTGATTTTATCACGAAATTTATACGATTTGGTCACTGAATTTACTATTTGTATTACAGTTTACTATAATTATATTTACATAAATCTAATTTTACTTTATTAAATTAAATAAAAAAAAAAATAAACAAAATACAAATACATTATGAAAATTCCCTCCTTATTAAAACCACCTATTGCAACCAAAATTATCTATAAGTTCAGGTTCATTTGGAGTCAAACAACCTAAAAAACCCCCCC